ATCCGATAGCTGTGTTTTTAGATTGTCATATCCTGCCCAAAACTGTGTAAATCACTCAAACGTTTTATCTAACAGAGAACAACAGAAAAAGCCATGCACTGATCTGTGCTCAACTACCAACTTTTTTTCCTGTGCTAACTCCATTGTGTACCCTGAGTCATATCATCTGTCTTGTCTTACTAGCTTTTTTTGATGCCTGCTGAAGCCTCAACCAGAACATGATCTAAGCTTCCACGAGCTCAGTCTGTTTCCTAAAACTTCCTGCGGGCTGGATTGTCCTGTCAGCGCTCAGCTTTTCTCCAAACTGTCACATCACAATGATAGATTCGCAATATTATAGCAGCATGAAGCTGCCACTCGGCCCTGCACGTGTGGTAGGCCCAGCTAAAGCTGCCTGTCGGACATCCCAGAACAAACCTGGTCTCCTGGGCTCCGGGAAGAATGGAGCAGAGGCGTCATCTAATTTATCAATGTGCCGTGTGGGAAGCAAACAATCGCAAAAAAGCTTAGGAACAGGAAATGGCACAAATGAGAGTAAAGACCTCACTGGAATTCCCACAGGTCAATGCAGTGGAAAGCTTGAATACAGTTTTGGGAACCTTTAGTTTCTATTCGAGACTTTCCCTAGTGGAGAAAAAAAAACTAGTCAGGAGACACTTCACCAGGTTTTTATGGTTCACTGTAAAATCCCCTATGAAGAAAATCATCTTTTGTAAGCTGTTTGAATAGAACTGTGTGTAGGTATAGTGTGTCCACAGTCATATTGGAAGGATATAAACACAATAAGTCTCTGTTTTAAAAATAGGATAAAATCCCTCTCATTTTGAGGCCGACCACAACATGACATAGGAGTGCAGTTTCCCCACCCACCGAATTGATAGACAACTGCCTATTAACATGTCTCTGTAGTAACGGATGAAAGACAGATGTGCCCAAAGGAACTGGGATTAAAAGATCTGTTCAGCTCTCTGTGATCATCAGTCATCATCAAACGTGATCAAGAATAACTTTTACAAGTTTAAAATGTTTTTAAAACAGTGCATGTTTGTAATAAAATAAGTTAAAGATGGTAAAATCGCTGTAATTCATCATCACAGCCACATAACAATACAATAATAAAAAAAGACTCTTCAATCCCCTGTTAAATCCAGCCTGATCTCACGAGAAAACGTAAGTATTTTACGTTTTGCCAGTTTAGTGGCTAATTCGTACGAATTCGTACGATTTCAGTCGTACGAAATGATACGATTTTAAAAAGGAGGCGTGGCACCTAACCCCACCCCTAACCCCAACCGTCATTGGGGGAAAAGCAAATCGTACTAAATTGTACGAATTAGATCGTACGAATTCATACGAATTAGCCACTAAATGAAAAAGTTACGAATTGCCGTGAGATTGTGTTGGTTAAATCAGGTTTATTTTGTACATTACATAACAGATATCCATACAGCGGTGGATATTAATGTGTATCTTGTCACATTTGCAGTGCAAAAACACTGCAAAGTTAAACACACATGTGTGTGTCTATGTTTGTATCTTTGTAACGACACTGCATGTGACTCATCATTGCAGAAAGGCTTGAACAAACTCTACAACAAATCCATCAAATAATCATTGGGAAAGTTCTTACGGTAGTATTTCTCACAAACGTTACGTGAGATCTGCTTCCTTCATGTCTGTCACTGAGCAGTTTATCTGATGCAGCCAAGGTGAAGATTGAGGCACACTCTGACAGGCACATAGTAACGGTGCACAGAGAGAACTAGCATTAAAGGCACAGGCAACAAAAACAGCTACATTGTGTTCAGAGCAGAAAATCCCAATATTCTGATGGGTGTTTGAACTGAAACATTACAGACACATTCTGGAGACACAAAAGACTTATCTTGAAAAAAGGGTGAAATAGGTGCCGAAAACATTCATGCCATCAAATTTTAACCTTTAAAACCAGCCCATTTTAATGATTTCTAATGTACTTTAACACATATTACAATTAGGATATGCCACCAATAGAAAGCAATTTATGTCTTTTTTATTAGACATAAAAGACCATTATTGTTTTCACTAAATCAATAAAATGTTCATTTCAACCATCACACACCGTCATGCTGTAAGCAAGCCATCAGCTTGCTTATATTTCTATAAAGACTTCTCTATAGGGTCTTTGGCCACACTGTAATTGAAGCATGCTGGGGGTTTCCATGACGACCGTCTATCTCCATGTCCATCATTGTTCACGAGTACAGATTGAAATGGCATCCTATGGGAAGCGTTTTGTCGTTTGTACTGATGCACAGCCGGGGGTTCAGAAACACTCAATGCTTGGGATCAAACACATGCTAGCAAGGTGTCCATTAAACCATTCTGTCGCAGACTGTTACGAAATGTTTATTCTGTATGTGCTTAAGCATGTTTTTGTAACCATGATTGGGTCATTAACAGACAGCAGAATGATTGACACTGTGTATGTAAATTAGCAATGTGCACATTCATTTATGTATTACACTTTCATGTCATTTTTACATGATAACTTGTGCTTGACAAGTGCTTATATGCATTTTATTATTATAATAAGTATTTATTCAATTTTTAAATAAAAAGTCTGTTTATATATGCTGTTCTTTTAATATAGCAATATGCTATCATCAGTCCCCAAATTAGCATAAAAAACGGGGTGCTAAAACAATATAAACATGTAAATTAATGTTATATTGCCGTAGTTAACTTAAATGCAAACATCAATTATTGACTACTTTTTCAAATTGTCATTAGCTATGTTTCCATACAATAATGTGAATTAAATTTATGAGCAAAACTAGAATATCACATAAAAGACACGCTAATAAAGCAGTGTTTCCATCCAATAAGTTAAAGAGAACATAATCATCACTTTCTGATTAACTGGCTCCAAATATCAAAAGTAAAAACGTAATTTGGAGCGGTAGGAGAAGCTGCGTGTTTCTTTTCTTAATTTAAAAAACGACTTGCGCCTCAGAAGACAATGCCAACATGCAAAGGCATGAGATGCAGAGCCAGATGCTCTTGACAGTTCTGGGGGTCATTAATAATATAATAACACTAATGCTGAAATGGTTAAGGCGTTTTAGAATGACTAAAACAACATTTCAGATGTTTTACAATGTGGTCAGCTGACTAGTTTTTTCATTCACACACATTTTTATCATCACAAGACATCTTATAACAAAATCACATGACACTTTTATTGCGCATACTGGAATTTGTTTGGTAAAAGTGTTTCCATTGTAGTTTATGCACGTTTTTTTATTATTATAGAATAAAAATTTTATCCTACTCAGTTATGCGTATACATTTTTTATGTGCATTTTCAAAACTAATGCGCATCATGTGTTTCCAACCAGCGTTTTTTATGCGCATATCCAAAATGCACATAAAAATAGATGGATGGAAACATAGCTATTGTTAGCTTTCTTTCATTAAACAGTATTGTATTGTAAAGACTTATACATAACAATATGGAAGTATAACAAGATGTTTTCCTAACCTGAATGAAACATTTATAATTTGTATATCTTAAAGCTAACATGTCATGATTGACTTAGCATCAAACTCAACTAGTATTGAATTTATTTGTGTGAAAATATAATTAAATGTAAACAGTGGCTAAACGAAACGTGCAGTACATTTTTGTGTTTGTGTGTGAATATGCGTGATAAAATTGGGATTTTGTCAGCGTTTAAAGCCTTTCCACTGTGTACGACATTCTGACATGTTGGAATACGCCCTCTTGTGGCAGTCGCATAGAATTGTCAGTTTTGTCATGCACCTTGGGATAGAAGCTGATTCTCGCAGTGTCCAAAAGAAAAGAGTGCAAAACCAAGAGCCTTTATTTTCCATGCGTTCAACATGGTTGGAATAATGAATGAATAAATACTAGAAAGATATAGACCACTAAAAAATTTGGAGCGAATGTTGAGACAACATAAAAACATTATGTTTTTTAATACTCATTTATAAATAGAAATGTTTTTTTTTAATATTGACTTTTTTCACTCAAAAAATAACGAAAAAAACTACTATTTTTCATCTTGCATACGGTTTAGGTTACGCTTAGCATACGGTCTAGTCGCAAGAGTTTAAATATTTCAACGTATCCACAGCTCAAACTGTATTCGAATTTTTTCGCATATGGAGACGATCTGAACTCCACGTATTTCTATTGGAAATGAATAACTTCCAGTCTGTCGCTTGTCGTGTGCAGTGGAAAGGCGGCTTAACACCATAGCACCTCTAGCCTTAAAGCTAGCTAGCTAGCCCAAAGAAAACACAAGGTGCATTCCAAATCGCATACTTATGCACTATTCTACTCCATTTTGTACTATAAATAGTAGTCCATTCACACTGAAAACTAAGAAGAATAAGTGCACTTTATTTACTAGGATGAAGCACTTATCCAATCGGTAAAAGGAAGTGTGGAATGTTGGATACTTCACACACTCAATGGCTGCTTGCTTTGCTCAAGTAGCACAAGCGGTGGAGCTATTAGGCACTGATGCTGGATTACTTTATTAATTTTGGAATGTGAAAGCAAAATTCTCTTAAAAGAGAAATTATAGCGCCTCCCAATGGTGAATGCGGTAATACTTATGGCAGGTATTATTTGGTAGTTTGGTCATTCGTTTTGCTAATTTGGCAACCGCCAAATGTCATCAGGGAAACGGTTTGAATCTCCACTTAGTAAAAAAAAAAACATTAGTGTTCCGTTTGGGTCGACGCTCCATTCATATACTATGCTGTTGAGAGTGTAAGTGCATAGTGCATAAGCGAATAGTGTATAGTGTGCCATTTGGTATGCAACTACTGTCATTTATTACATCAAAAAATTTTCAACTCATCCAACATCCACAATGCCCTAATCTATGTATACTTATTGCATGTCTTAATATGAACTGAACATGATTCATTGTTCGTAAACTGTTTCAGCGTCTGACCTAGAGTGTGTATTTGTTTCTCTGGCTCAGCAGGCCTCAGCTCACCGCCTGCCAACATCACTACATCAGCCGTCCCCAGCATTGTCACTCCTATCGTCAACGGCTTTACCAGCATCCCTCACCAGCCCAACGGTCACCCTGCAGTGGAGGCCGTGTACACCAATGGTCTGCCCCCATACTCCACCCAAAGCCCCACGGCTGCAGACACCCTACAGCAGGCCTTCACTGGGGTGCAGCAATATACAGGTGAGCTACCTCAATTATTAATTTTCCACTGAATTGTATGGTACAGCTTACTTTTAGGGGCTTTTCTTCTGTGTTACATACTTAATATCTGGTACTTTTTTAGTACCACCTCATGTGAGGTATGGTTGTTCTGAGAGAATTGTGACCTCCAGCATCACTGGCTTTGCAACACGAGACACCAAATCTGCAACAGCTAGGTGATGTCTATAAGTGTTTGAACAAAAATGCACTGTGATGCATGTAAGGGCACAGCAAACCAACAGGTGGCGATAAAAGCCTTTCTGCTAGGTTTACTCCAAATGTGGAAATAAGTATTTGTTTATTACATAAACTTTGATGCAAATGTGGTTAACTGGACAACTTTGGGGTGAATGTGTGTAATTTTCCTCAATCGCATCTTCCGCATTTAGTGTTAACCTAGCTGACGTCATGAGGCAAGAACTCCAGTTTTAGTAGCCACTAGGGCTGTGCGATTAATCGAATCTCAATCGCAATTTGAAACTATGCGATTTACTAATCACAAAGGGCTGCGATATGAAATATTTTTGTATTATTTAATTTTCCCTGCCCAGAGCAAATGCGTGATAGCCTTACTAGCAATTGAGTGAGCACAATTGAGTGATGATGAGTGTCTTGCTAAAAAGTCAACTGAAAGTATTGTTAGTGACACTCAATCTAGTAGCAAGCGATTGTTTCAGCATTGTTAGTTTGCTGAGTGTTCTGTATTTTTATAATTAGTATTATTTATTGTTTGTATAATAAGCTACACTATCTCCCTAATTTGAGTTCAGCTTGTTTACAGAAAGGTACTGCTTGCTCTAGAGAAAAAATTGTGTTTCATTTCTGAATATAATTAATATTATATTAATTATTATTATTATTATTATATAAAAATTATTATATTAATATTATATATTATATTAATATTATATTAATATTAATTATTTAATAAATGTTAAAGTATGCTGAATCTTGACTACAAAATTAAATTGCAAATCAATTGAAATTGCAATATCTGTCAAAAAAAAAATCGCAGTAAGATATTATTTCTAAGTCGCAAAGCCCTAGTGGCCACATGGCAACACTGTACCTGGATATATATGGAAATTCTGGTTTCAGTCACCTGATTTGATTATTTATTTCGATTTTGATTGAGTAATATATATATATATATATATATATATATATATATATATATATATATATATATATATATATATATATATATATATATATATATATATATATATATTAGGCATGAGACGATAACCATTTTCAAGGTTTTGGAAAAAGTCAAGATATTAAAACCGCAAAAATGTTTTGTTATACCATTTTTAAGGTATATGTAGAGGGTTTTTTAAAGTTACTTTTTAGGTGCTTTAAGGAAATCTGTGTTTTTGAAGCTAATGAAAATAGAAGTCAATGGTTCATTTTACTTATGTAGCCTGACATGTTTACTGTTCCAAAATATTATAAATGTTTCCTAAAATGTAATATATTGTGGTAAATGGGGAAAAGGGTTGCTGTTTTTTTACTAAGACATTTAAAAAGAAATTATTTTACAGCAGTAAGCACAATACCGTGATACCGTCATATCGTCATTTTTTTACTCAAGGTTATTATACCGGCACATGCCTAATATAATAAATATAATAAAAATACACTTGACCACCGTATAATGGTTCATATCATAGGAAATGCACATTTGCATAAGCAGGAAAATTTTCAGTTGCCGATCTGGCAGATATAGCCTACCCTTGAAGTGTTTTAATTTAAAAAGCTCTTTTTTTAGACTTCATACTCTAAGTTAGAACCACCACTAATATTAAATTGTAACATTTGTTTCATTCTTTGAATGTCTGATATAATTTCTTCCCAAATTTTACTAATTTATAACTAATGTAATGTGTTCTTATGTGTCTGAAGTCAAACAGGTGTTCTATGGTGTAAAGATGTATATAAAAACCTAAAAACAGGTCACTTTTTTTATGGAACAACAAACATGCTTTAAATAACAAAACTACAGTAATTTTGGAAGAATTTTGCATGTTAGAAAGTCACAAAGATATTTCCATTTTGCAGTTAGGGTTGAGATTCAAACCTCTTTATTGCACATTATTTATAGTATAGTCTGTTTACGTTCACTATATTTGTTTTCATTGCATTTAAGATGAACATTGTTTTTGATGAACGGTGCAGGATTACATTTTGGTTATAAACTATTGTGCTTAATAATTTTTTATAAAAAAAAAAAAAATTAAAGTAAAAAATCATATGGCCAAACACGAGACAGGCAGGATGCAAAATCTGCCAAATATTGTCAACTTTGGCATGTTCGAATCCTATAAAGAACCTGACTGGACTTTTTGGGCCAAAAACCGATCCCCAACAGACCAATTTTTTTTCCTAAAACAGTAAAATTCATCTACAGTAATATGATTTGATAACTCTGCAACTGCAATACAACCATCATCAAGTAGCAAATAAATGTATCCTGGATTGTTTGCTTTTGACAGTTACAAACCAAAAAAGGTAAGAACCACATAACAACAAATGAGCATATCCGCAAATGTATAGCAAATCTTTAGGCCTATCCTGACATTTTGTACATTTTATGAGAACAGAGGTTTGTTTTGTTGAAAATGGTGTTTGATTCTCTTTGAATTTGTCCCCCTAAAATGCAGATCTATCAGATATCAGAGAACATCCCTTGTATTTATACAGTATGTGAATTTATTTATTCATTTATTTATTTACTTATTTATTGTGCTGCTTACTTAAAATGGGTAGTTGTGTTTGACCAACCATCCGTCCATTTCTCTCTCTTTCATTCTCTTCTCTTTCTCGTAGCCTTGTTCTGTGCTGTATCGCATAAATCCAGCCCATGTTTTCACACACATTTCTTTTTCTTTGTGCGTTCAGCCATCTACCCAGCTACCACACTGACCCCTATTGGCCAAAGCTTGCCACAGCCACCACAAGTCATTCAGCAGCAGCAGCAGAGAGAAGGTGAGGGTGAGAGACTTTACATTCATTCTTTTGCATAAAGGTTAACAGTGTTTGCATTATTATAACAGAAGTGTTTATATAGCTAAAATAATCAGAATGTGCATCTTATACTAATGTTTTATTTGATAAAATTTTGTATTCAAAAATGCATGTGTGATTTTAGCTCTAGCGTAACAACTTGACAGTATTTGAGGATGATTTTCTAATCTCGATCATACAATTTAACATGATTTCCTTATCCCCCAATGACAGTTGGGTTTAGGGGTGGGGTCGGGTGCCATGCCACCTTTTTAAAATCTTACATTTTCATATGACTGAACGTTTGTATGCATTTGTGTGAATTAGTTTACAAATTGTACTGACAAATAGTAAAATAGTTACATTTCTTTGTGAGATCAGGCGGGTTAACTCAGGTGTCTTGTATCTGTTGTCTTTGTGACTTGTTTTGAATGAAGACTCCTGAGTGAGTAAAAATGTCTTTGTTTTGCAGGACCAGAGGGTTGCAACCTCTTCATCTATCATCTACCACAAGAGTTTGGTGACAATGAGCTTATGCAGATGTTCCTTCCATTCGGTACAGTCATCTCCTCAAAGGTCTTCATGGACAGAGCCACCAACCAGAGCAAGTGTTTCGGTAAAAGAAAAATCGATTCATTTCTATCTACCTATTGACCTTAATTCTATTGTGGAAGTGCGCTTGTTTTTGCAATTGTTTTAGAACTTAAGATTAAGTTGCCTATTAGAGAAAAGACTAGAAATAATAAATGACAGAAAATGGTCAGACTACTCACTCTACACACAAATGTTTATATGACTTTACAGACAAAGCAGAATAATATAATAAGAAAATATCAGTTTGCAACATCAAGCAGCATAATAAGTTGTTTTAAACGTCTAAATATGAATGGACGTGAATGAGACAGGAAGTCTCGAGCAAAAAAGATTTGTATGTGAAGAATAAGGTCAATAATCATGCATTTTTGTACGCATCTTTTCTGAAATGTATAGACAAATTATATATAGATACAAATGTGTGTGTGTGTGTGTTTAACTTATTTATAAGAATTATGTTGCATCAAGATCAGAGGATCTCACGTGTAACATTTATAAACCAAGTAATAGATTTTTTTCTCATATTAGTCATTTTGAGAGACCGAAACACAAACTTTTGAAATCGATACTGTTCCTGTAAATGTGATATAGTGACAATTTTGACATCATGTGCATGTGTCTTGGCAGTCTATTGTCATTCACGAGTTTAGTTCTCTCTTTAGTTTTTAGTACATTGCTGTAAACACACCCTTAAATACAAATGCTAAATGAGGAACCAAACAAGACACAGGTGAGCACAGTCATTCAATAATTAAGTATTGTATCTGCCAAAACCAAGCAAATAAGATCCTAAAAACAGGATGGAAACATGGAAATTGAGGAAGAAGTGGTGTATAATGCAAAATGTGCATTAATGTGGAGTATAATCCATTCGGAACTAATGTTATTTTTACTAAAATTCTAAACATATTTTATGTCCTCAAATCTTTTATTTTTAGCAGTATTCAGAAGAGGAAAAACAATAAAAAAGTATTAAACAAGCATAAATTATATTTTTATAAATGCAAAATGATTATGTCTATAGAAAAACTCATTTGGTGTTGTGTGTGTGCTTTCTACAAGGGTATTTTACTTGCTGACGTTAATTTAATTGTTATATTTGTTGTTGTTTTTTATTAAAAAGGTGTGCAAGATTTAAAAAAAGCTCTGATTAGAACATGCTAAATCTTAAGCAGCTACATGAATTAAGTAACACTTCCACACTTAGTCCATCCCAGATCGTCTGGTAATCAGTCTCTGTCATTTTCCCCCATGTAAACTGTATTCTATGTCAAGCCACAAACCAGAAAGGAACTGCCTTTTAAAAATCCCTGAGCCAGAAAAAAAGTCCTAAGTGAAGCAAAAAGGCCCATTATGGATCAACATCTGTTCCCGCTCCAGGGGGAGACATTTCCCAAGCCACAATTAATAGCAGCTCCCGTCTCCTGGGGGAGGTTAATAAGATATAAATTTGTGAAGTAGGACCTATTTGCGGTATTGACTTATACACTATGCATTTACTGCATAATGTCAGGTCTGGGTAACAGGCGCTCGGTAGAGTAATTAATCTGCGGTGGGGGCCGCGGCTCGAGATGGACCGATGGGACTTGGCTGAGAGCACTGACATACATAGATTCCCTATTAAGCAGCATTGTGGCTTCATCCCCAACTTCACCTCCACGTGGACCCTCTTTTCTTGTAGATACAAGCCTGGAAATAGGGTTGTTTTAGACACCTAGGCCAATTTGTTCCCAGGTGGCTGATGACCGACGAAAGCTTCCCGCTGTTTTTCATGGTTCACAGGCGTTTACTGATGTAATGCCAGCGAAAGTGCATCCACACTTCAATGGGGTTTTTTGGTCACTGGCTTTTAGTAGCCGATAGGTTTAAGTGGGAAGTTGGGGTTGTTGTGGATGAATGTGGTTTGTGTGTTGAGCATGGCCCACTTTTTTGGGTCCTTTGGGGCAATTTGTCCCTGTTCTATACCACCAGTGGCAATATATATATATATATATATATATATATATATATATATAGTGCTCAGCGAAAATGAACACACCCATCATAGATCTCTCTTTTAAATGAATATTATGTATAAGATGCTTTACAATAATATATTTGTTTATATACGTTATCCATATGTATGGATATTCTGAGTTGATTTGTTCATTAAAGAGCCATTTTTGATTTGTTGGAAACTTGCTGCATTTCAAATATAATGGAGTATGTAAATCTTTTGTATCCAAACAACTTGGTTCATATTTCTTTTTGTGGTTTCTTGCAGGCTTTGTGAGCTTTGATAACCCTGCAAGTGCACAAGCTGCAATCCAGGCTATGAATGGCTTTCAGATTGGCATGAAGAGGTTGAAAGTGCAGTTAAAACGGCCGAAGGACGCAAGCCGCCCATACTGACAGGGCCCAACACATACTGGGCTCTCAGCAACAGCACAGGTATTAATATGAATGCAGCTAATCTATGTCCTGTTAATGTGTTTTCTGTATGTTTGTGTGTTGTGTGTAACTGTAAACTAACTTTTTTTTAATCTAATACATATTAAACATATTTTATTTTCATTGATATAAATGTACATTTACTTTTAATATCTAAATATTTGAATTCTTATTTTTTAATATCTATTATATAAATATTATATATAAACATTATTATGAAATGTTGTAATTCCCAAAAGGTGTCTGTTTGATATTCCTGAAATAAAATGCAATGATCATTATTAGTATTTTTCTGTGTTAATATCAATAATTGTGTGTCTGTCTATATATATATATATATATATATATATATATATATATATATATATATATATATATATATATATATACACACATACAGACAAGTAGCAGTGCAATGTGGCTGTATATCGTTACTGGTGGGAGGCATGCGTCGGCACGAGGCAGCAGGCCCCGGGTGCCTTAGTGTCCCACCAGTGACAATATACAGCCACATGGCACTGCTACTAATGTGATATTGCGTTTATACAACAGTTTGACGGCATAATTGTGTAGAAAAAGAAAATCAAACATGGACAGTCTCAAAACCCTTTTGGAAGAGGAACTACTTTCTTCTGCCATTCATTCACATCTGCAGCTGACATCAAAACAGCAGAAACTGTTGCTCAGTCACTAACGTCACTTTAGAGCTAATATTTGAATAATTCTCCAGCGTAATGTCTAAAGTGGTGGCAAAACAGGTGATTTTGCTCACAATTTAAGATTATGAGGCTAAACGTAATGAAATGCTATCAGTCTACAGAGATTTCCCAGTATAACATACAAAAGAGAAAGATCGACTTAGAAAGTCATTTACCTATTTAATAACGATTTGATCAGCTTTAGTTTTTCTCTCAGGGTTTATTGTGCTGTCTCTGTCGCTATCTTGTGGATCATCAACATCATCAACTGTCTTTGCTCAAAGACAGGCTAATGGCCGCTGACACGCTGTCTTTCATAAATTGTAAATATTTTAAAATAGGCACTATCCTTATAAATAAACTGCATAGTTGCAATCTAAACAACTACATTCTCGACTAAAAAAGCATCAAAAGTACATTAGGTTGTCCAACATATATAACTAAATAAATAAATAAATAAATAAATATATATATATATATATATATATATATATATATATATATATATTTATACAGCAGTTCTGTCTGATTCTCAAATCTGACTGTCTGATAGCCGTGATATATTTAAGTAATATCAGCACCCGTACAGCCTCTTTACCCTTTGTGTATTACTCCACCCAAATACTGCCAGCAAAAAGCAGACACTACAGATCTAAAGATTAAAAGATGCTTGTTCAGCTGTTTAACTGTCAGCATATGATTTGAATCCAACGTGAAAGAAAAGTCTCATAAGTCCTCATATAAAAGGGTTTTTTGAGACTGTCCATGTTTGATTTTGTTTTTATATACACAATTATGCCGTCAAACTGTTGTATAAACACAATTTCACACTCGTAGCAGTGCAATATGGCTGTATAACGGCACTGGTGGGGGCACTAAGGCAAGTGCAACACACACCTCCCACCAGTGCCGATATACTGCCATATCGCACTGCTACTCGTGTGATATTGCATATATATATATATATATATATATATATATATATATATATATATATATATATATATATATATATATATATATATATATATGCGTATATTTGTTTATAACTTCTTTTCTATATCTTAAAGTACCTTTTATATCATTATACATTATATTATTATTCATTATTATTGTTAATTCTTGTATTTTTTGTTTTTGTTTCATTTTAATACTAGTTCTTGAGTATAATTGTATAACTGACTTTATCTCTAATGGAATTTTGTTTCACAGGATTTGAAGAGATTCGCAGGATTTGAATTCAAAAGGAATTTAACTTTTTCTTTCAAAACAAACAAGAATGGATTTTTTTGAAGACATATCAGTATTTATTTTCCGAAGATGTTCAGTACAGTGGAGGGTTGCGGGTGAACCGACACCAGTGGACAAAACCACACTCGGCACAGCACGGCAAGAAAGACAAGAGGAAAGATCTCTCTAAAGACAGAGAACTCGACACGTCCTGTCTCTCGCTGAGCTTCGAACCGTCAGTCAAGCAACAAACTAAAAAAAAAAGAAAAAAGAAAAAAGAAAAAAACACGAGCGAGAACAACTTCGATTTCTATATACATATTATACACACATATGCTATTTAAAGGAAGAGGCGCTTATGGCTTTTATTACACTGGACAAATGAGGGTTAAACTTGAAGACCAAGGAAAAATGCAGTGGAAAAAAAGAAGCTCTTCTTGTCCCGCTAGTGGACTTTCTTTCTCTTTCCCTCTTTACTTCTGTCACCATCTTTCAGCAAACGCAGGACATTCTGTGGTCACAGAGGTTTCCATGCCCTCAGTGAAACTGATAAATCTTTCACCCCAAAGGGACCAAAGGACCAAACATTTTTATTCCTCAACAGAAATATATGGTATTAATAACAATACTAAAACTACAAACTACTACTAACGACATACTTTTAAAGAGAAAAAAAAAAAAAAAAGCATACATTTTTGCTTCAGGTCGGAAGAGGAAAGGGACTTTGATTTCTTTTCCTTTTACATTTATAGCTACTGGGTTTCAGAATATTTAAAAATAGAAAAAAAACTAAGAAAAAAAAGTATTTTAAAAGCTATACTATTTTAGTGGAGTAGAATATGTGGATTGGAGATTGTTAGGAGCATGTTCAGACATTTTCATTCATGAAGAGAAAAAAAAAAGTGAGGGAACGGACCATTAACCATTGTCATTTATTTATTTATTTTTTTGCTAAACTGTCCCACATTCCAGAGAACAAATGCTGAGTATAACTATTTATGCATGTGCGAAATGAAGTTTGAACACTTAAACATATTTATCCGATGAAAGCTTTACTTATCAAGCAGAATAAGTACCTGTGGCTTCAACTATCCGCAATATTAACAGCTGTACTATACAGTTTGGCAATGATGGAAAATGTTTTTTTTGCGTTGATCTACGATCATGTTTTGTTGAGTACCGCCCAAATTTACCTTTACGAGGGACCAGCAGATCTTTCATATCATCCATTTTATTCCATTTTATCTTTCTCATCAGACAGTCAGTGCCAAATGCTGAATATCAACCGATAAAGCACATTGGTATATAAACCAAGCCTTAAACCTAAACACAACCCACAAAACGTCCAAGCAGAGGCTTACAACAAACCTCCAGAAAGGACTTGTTCTTAACGCTTACAAGCACATCAGAATTTTACAGGGACCATTTTTGGAGCATCAAAATAATAAGTGAATTTAGCTTCGGAAAACTTGCACAATCAATCAACACGGATGTTTTCAGAGTTCATTTTGCTCATAAATGAGTTTAAGATATAGATGGGATGACTCACCCAATCCACAAATAACCCATATTTCTAAGAATACGCTTCTCAGGCTGGGTATGGATTAGCTTGACGCTAACTGTCTGCAAAGGTCTAATGAGCAGCCTGTAAAGAGCTCACCAACAGCTTGCAAATAGCAGCCATGGGGGGTTACAGTGGGAGCAAACTGATCCATCAATAAAAGAGCCACCCAGTCTGACATTATGGTGTACTTAACCGCAGCTGTTACGTTGCTTTCAGACAAGACGCAAATATACACAACTCTGAAGCACTTGACAAGAATCTTAAAGACCCTGTGAAATTGAAATGAACATTTTGCAGTGTTACATTTGTGTTTGCAATGAGGCTAAAGAACAATACTGGCTACAATTTTTTTTTGTCCAATCATGCTAGTGGTTATTTCAAAAATGTGGTTTTGACAATTAGCTTATTTGTTAGCTTTGAGGCTAATGTTAACTGACGAAAACAAAGGCCAATTGTAACCTTTTGATTATGTGGCTAATTCATATATTTTGCACAATCTCACGTACATTTTAGTGTGATTTGCTCATCCCCCAATGAGGGTTAGGGTTAGGTGTGAGGTGTAGGGGTTTGTAATTCTATAAATTGTAAAAATTAGGCACTTTACTGACAATTCATAAAATTGTTATGTTTCCTTGTGAGATTGGACATACACATTCTTTTTCAGTCTTATTAAAAACAGTTGTGATGTTTAGTTTGCATGTCATATCTGAGGATAATGCTAGCTGACAAAACTAGCGCATGAATGTTAAAAAAAGACCAAAATATTTTTTTTGTTGTACAGTAAATTCCTCTTAAATATTTGGCGTTTCAAAGCTGTAATATGGCCCATATTTTGTGTGTTTGCTCTAAGGCTAATGCTAGCTGCCATATCTGATGATTAGTTATGTACTATTCTATTTCGGCCTTTTGTAGTGTAAATGGGGTAAGTAGTGCGTTCACAATGAAAACTCTAAAAAGAAGTGAACTTTAAATTCCTGGATAATGCACTTAACCGCTGTTAAACTGTTAAAGAGAAGTGTGAAATGTTGGACACTTTAACCACTCAACAGCCGCTGCTTTGCACACCTAGTGGAAGGGGCGGAACTTTCAGGCGCTGATGTTGGATTACTTTATTTATTTTAGATTTTGAATGCAAAATTCTCCTACGAGAGTGATTATAGCGCCTCCCAATGGTGCATGCGGTTATACTCATGGCAGGTAGACTGAAAGAAATGACTTTCTTGTGTAGCCAAATCTAATAAATTGACTCTCATAATTTTTTAATTGTAATATTGAGTATCAAGGATAACTTAAGTACATATTTAATATTAACACATTTACTTCATTTAATAAATAAAATGAGTGGAAAGAGTTGAACATTAATATTCATTTACTTGTAATATTTGAATATTTTCTAATTGTCGCAAACCTAGTAATATTAAGTAAGTTTTAATTACGGATATGTTCCAATGGAGTGAAGTTTCCAGCATGCTTTGCATGGGATTGAATTCAAAGAAATGTATTTAAAAAAATAAAAGCAATCTCAGATGTTTACATTTGAGAGAAAGAATTGTTAGTTTGATCATCATTAGTTTGTAGATTAAGAAGAGTTTTGAGTATGACTTAGTTTTAAGGTTACCACCTTGCAGAAGAGCAGCACTCATGGTTTAAGTCTTGGCCTTTTTATTATCAGCATTTATGTTGACGCTTCATTTAAAAAATCATAGCTGTGCTAACACAAGTAAATCAGTAAACATTTATAAAGTAAATTTGCTCTTGCCAAATAAATTAGCTTTAAATAAAGTGAAATAACACATTTCAAGTGGAAATGTGTGTCTTAATTAAACCAAGTTGTGCCAAATGTGCTAATTTGTAACAAATACGATTTATTTAACTGATAAAAGCAATGTTCCTTCTGCTAAAACAAGAAAATGACATTACTTGGTTCATTTAAATAAATAAAGACTCTAAAGTAAAGCTAATCAATTATCTTTTACCTAATGTTTAACCTAACACTCCTAAGTTACCTAATGTTTAACCTAAATTTTACATGATATTGACAAGGAAATTGTACCTGATTGAAGATTGTAAAATTCACTTGAAATTTAATTGTGCAAACTGTAAAGTAAACATTAAGAGTAATTCTTTTAGTGTACTATTTGGTAGTTTGGTCATTTATTTCACTAATTTAGCAACTGTCAAACGTAATCATGGAAACAGTTTGACTTTCCGCTTAGTAAAAAAACTGTTAGTGATCCAATTGGGATGGCATTACATTCATATACCATGCTGTTGAGTGTGCAAGTGCATAGGTACGTAGTGCAGATATATATAGTGTGCCAATTGGGACGCAACTATCATTTATTAGCTTTAATGCTAATTTAAGTGGTTCAAAGCGCTATTGGAAAATGAGGCAAATACACTGATGACCACTACAAGCTCTTGTCCAAGTATAGGGCAAATATTTTAAATGAAAATATCTTAAAAGTGTAGAGTCTTATCGACTTGTTTAAAATGATGCATTTTTACAATATGTATTTTGTTTTTGTCACATTTAATCCGTACAAAATTGCTAATTAAGGCAAGGCAAGTTTATGTATATAGCATTTCATACACAGTGACAATTCAAAGTGCTTTACTTGAACAGGAATAGAAGAGACAAGACTAATTAAAATAAAAACAAATAATATATATGTATAAAAAAAATGAAAACAGGATAAAGACACCGGTGTATCATATTTTCTCATTTTACTCTGTGACTTCCCCATTCTGGTAATCACCCCCTCTCTGTGGAAATTTTAGGTACCTATTATTAAATAAAACGGGGCCAGTTTCAACTGGAAATGACTCAATGCTGCACTCATCAAACAATTTCATGGGGTCTTTAACAATTAAAAGGACAGTATTATTGACAAAAAAAATCTATTTTCCTATGCATTTAAAGTTCTCGTTTGCCTTTTCCGTAGATTTTGACATTCCATCAATGCTGCCGTTACTGTATTCTCACCGTACTCTCGTCAACTCCGCACTGCCTTCATAGATATACCAAAACGGAAGCTAATATAGACAACAGAAGCGCAACAAGTTCCGAATTCACAAACAAACACAACTAGCTGAGCTCCAGAATCTAGGTAGGACAGAAAAGCACATATTTTGACCTCATTTGATTTCCGCTGTGGATATATTTGACCTGTTTGTCTTACCTAAAAATATATCGGTATGTTAAATGTTTAATCTGGCCTGGCGTCAGAAATCAAGTTTCGACGTCGCCCGTATATATCACAGCCGTTTTTTTAGCCTCAGGTCGCGCCGAAATGGATCGCATTCGATTCACAGGTTATAATGGCCTTTTTCTGCTGAACTCCCTTCATTTCATCTCGCCTCTCCTGTCCTGTGGTGGCATATCTGAATGTGGTGATATACAGACATGCAGCCCTCGGGCATCGGCGCTCTAATAACCTCATGTTGCAGGGGCCTTCCTTGCAGAATCTCTCCATGCCAGATGTGAATTATTAAAATCAAATTAAATTTGGCCTGCATGTAAAAGCAAGTGTTATACAAATTAAAAATGGCAACTAGTGCCTGAAGTTTAATAAGTTTGAAGGATGATATCATTACAGCTTGAAAGAGAAAAAATGAGATTGGAAAGGCATAGAAAATGAAAGGTGAACCGACGGCGTTAATACAAATTGCATCTTTTTTGTGTGTGTGTGTGTGTGTGTGTGTGTGTGTGCGCGCGCGTGCTTGAGAAACGAAGGAGGATACATTTTGCACTACAGGTATTTCTGAAGAAACCAGACCACCAGCATTTCATATTTGCGTTCTTCTCATTCAGTCCACGTTCACGTTTGGTTCCTCAGAGATCTTCATGCCGAACTTTGATCTATGAGCATGCTCAAAAGGGGGGAAAAGGGTGGGAAAGCTTTGGGGGGTTAAAGTGTTATAAAGGTACTACTCATATTAACAATATGATTCTTTAACTATGGTTTGTATGCTAAGGAAAGTAGCTTATTATAGATATGAAATCTGTATATTAGGGAAGAGCAGCACATTTCTCAGATTCTATGAGGGGTAGTTGGTGGGTGGTCAAGCGGGTGGGTTTTCGGGGTGGGGCGGGTTTTTTTGCTTTATAAAGATCATGT